TATGGCGAGAGTTCCACCAAACAAGAACCAGGGTAGGTGCACGCCCGAAGCCCTGCCATAGTAGTCTTTAGCCCCAAAACCGTACTCCCAGATATGTTTCGCGGATGGAGAGTTCATCAGAGGACTTACATCGAGGGCTCTTTACATGTGAATATCTGCAAAGGTCGACCGCATTCACGATCCGAAACGGGTAGACATGCCTCGGTTAAACAATTTTCGAGCTTTTGACTGATTGTCGGATAAATCTAGAGCGGATATCAAAAGCTAAGGTGTTTCATAAAACAATTGTCTGATGACAGTCCAGACCAGCAAGAGATATGAACAATAAGAACAAGATAACAGTGATGAAAAAGGGCGAGTATGAAGAGAGAGATGCTGTTCAAATCATGCTCAATTGATATGGACATTGCCCATCTTTCAAGGGATGCCGAGAATAAGATCCAACTGACAAGACCAGCCAAGCACAGTAGCACTCTTTTGCACTGCCACTCTCCCACCCTCGCTAAACCCAACCCGGACACTAATCACCAGCCAAGAGCCCATAACCCACGTCGTCATCATCCATCGTAACCCTTCAAAACAGGCCGAAAATAAAGGGTACAGACCCTGAGATCATTCCTTGACGCGTATATTCCAGTTTGTCTAGAACACAAAGTATTGTTTCAGGATTCCATCGTGTGCTCATCGTATGGACTGTTAATATACATATACAAAACATGACTGGGTTCGTCGTATAAATGTGGATCGCCAAGTTCACTCCTGATGATGCCAAGTCGGCTTTGTTCAAGTTATCCGGTAGTTGCGTGTACGCGGTGAACAAATTTTCTCTTTCTCCCTGCTCAATTAGCAAATCAATTGCATACCTTAGAATATGGTTAAGGTTTAAGCATACTGTTCAAACTCTAGGGGCTGGCCGACTTTATCTGACACTGAATTTCAGCTCTGCCCCATTCCCCTCCCCCCTCTCTTTTCCCTTGTCACCATCATCATGGGTCTTGACTTTGGTCAGGCGATTGGCACTGCCTGTGCGACATTCGCCGTCACCAACGTCGACGACATTTTTGTTCTTGTCGCATTCTTCGCTGAGGCTACGACGAGTCGGTCGCTCACGCCTGTCAAGATTGCCATCGGACAATATGTCGGCTTTACGGTAATTGTTGCCATGAGCATGATTGGGTATGGCGCGTCTCTACTCATTCCCGCCGAACCAATTGGATTTCTTGGCCTTTTGCCAATATTGTTGGGTATATGGCGGATTCTGAGCTATATCTTCAGCAAGGATGAGGACGAAGAGGAGGCTCTAGATCAAGAGCTGACGACTGCCGATGGGTTCAAGAGTGTTTTCAAGGTCGCTTCTATTACTGTCATGAACGGCGCCGACAATATCAGCACGTACATTCCGCTCTTTGCAGAAGCAAAAGCTGGAGAGCTGGCGATATATATCGTCGTTTATTACATCATGCTTGGGGTATGGTGCTGCGCAGCATACCTCATCATGCGGCAAAAGCATATTCTACACATTGCTCAGAAATACGCCCGCAGGTTGGTGCCGTTCCTGTATGTTGGCCTCGGAATCTTCATCATCGTCAACTCGGAGTGTTATCCATGGGCTATTGAGGAGATTGACGATGGCATTGCTTCACATCCTGGCAAGATCGTCATGGGAGTCACGACTGCTGGTTTGTTGGCGATCTGCATTAGCGCCATGCTTTGGAGGAAGTTGAGCCAGAGATCGGAGGAAGTTATGGTCGAAGATGTATCATCTGCTGTCGATGGTCAACGGGAAACACAAGAAGGAGGACAAGATACCGCGCAGCAAGTTGGAGAGCAATCTGAAGCTTCCAGAGACACAGGTAAGGCTTAAGACTCTCCTTGTACGCCGGTACTAGAAGTTGACTAACAGGGAACTAGGCGACGTCGACGATCCTACGAACAAAGCCGGAACGCAAGTAAGGAATGTCCCCATCGACGATCCCAGAGAGGGAGGCTCGGCGGTATAAAGACCATTGCAGATAAAGAGATGACTCTAGCGGGAGGTAGCACCTGGTCTGGCATCAAGTTATCCTTAATGATATTTTTTCCCTTCGGGACATCATCATTTACGAAAGCCACTACAAAACGTCCAATCCACCGAACTACCGAGGGTGAACAAGCTCAGCAAAGCTACCGTTATTGTGCAGATTTTCTGCCCTCAAGTGCATTCGCAGAACGCCCCCGTTCGACGCCATGTCGGGCCATATTTCTAGCTTCAGTTTCATCCCGCTTACCATGTCTTAGTGTCAACCTTTGACGAGACTCCCTGTTTTAGATGTCAATGCAATAGGACGGCAACGATGCAAGTTCTGGACATCGCATCAACGCTTATCTGATACACAAACCACCCGGGCACTTGCATTAACAACATACAGTCCGACGCAAACAATTGTATCGATAAGTCACCTCCAAAGTTTGTAATAGTAAGGGTCTAGATTCCGACACCTGACGGGCGTCTGACTCGCCGATCAGCCGGGTTCATCATACTCAGACGACATTGACGAATCGGAATTGATCCTAATATGTCGTTGGACAGAGATACCACTTCAAATCACCGGACTATGCTGAAACGATAAACAAGCTTTGAGGCCCGATTGATAGTGTGCGGCACAACATCCGTCGTCGATCAATCGTCTTTCAGGCTGAATCATGACATAATGCCCCGTGCTTACTCCGCTTTTCAACCAAATTCTTCGACTCCAAATTCCCAAGGCGCCACTGAAACTAACAGCCAACCTTTCCGACATATCAGAATCTCATTTATTAGATACACAAAATGGCTGCATCAAGTAAGAACCCCGAACGTATCGCTGAACTCCGACAGAGTGAGGTGCCAATCCCATGGTGTGACGAGTTTGAGAAGATGATAAGCGGAATGAAGTCAGTCTCATCCACTTCACTCAAGGAATTATCTAACGTGGTTCATGCAGCTTCAACACGGGCAACTCGCTGGAAATGATGGATTACAAATTAGCTACAAAGAAGAAACTGCTCTCTTTTAACGATGAGAGTATTCCAGATGGCAACACCCTCAAATCGTTAAAATCAAGACGCATGGCAATAGCAAAAGAAATCTTTGGAAAGCTAGGCCAAGACGTCACCATCGAGCCCCCCTTCTTTCTCCTCTGGGGCTGCAACATCTTCATCGGAAACGGCGTCTACATGAACAGAGAGTAAGCCTCACAGCCCCCACAAGAACCCCTTTCGCTCAGAACTAAACAGGGTATCGATCCACGACAACGCACTTGTTACTATAGGAGACGGTGTACTTATAGGTCCTGGAGTTTGTATCTGCCCAGGAACTCACGCTGCAGATATGCAAAGCCGGAGAGAAGCGCAGGGTACTTCGTTTGCGCTGCCGATACGTATTGAGGCGGATTGCTGGATAGGAGCTCGGGCTACGATATTGCCAGGTGTTACCATAGGGAGAGGAGCGACTGTTGCAGCGGGGGCGGTTGTTATTAAAGATGTTGAGGCGGAGACATTGGTGGGAGGAGTTCCGGCGAGGCTTATTCGGAGTTTGAAGGTGGATCCAGCATGAAGAGCGACGAATTGGTAGATTTCCCTTTGAGGTTCAGGCTGTCGCGACGTGTCAAAAGAAACCGATCGCATTGATGTCACTAGACCTATCTTGTTTGACCCAAACGCCATGCTTATCTACATCAACCTCCTCCACTCACAGACTATGCACCCGCCACAGCACCTGCTACCTCCCCAACAACCTCATCAATAATCTTCTTCAACTCCTTCGACACCACTGCAGAAAACAACACCATGACCACAAAGAACTCATCCCCCTGCACATAAACACTAAGCTCCTTCTCCCCAAACCTCTTCCAGCCAGCACTCCCATACTTAGCCAGCTTCTTCCCACTCTGATCATACAACTCAAACCCAGTGCCTGTCATCTGATTCACCTTCCACTTGAACTTGCCCATGTGCGTATGAAACCCCCAACTCCCCGTCATGCTGCTGTTCTTGATCACCATTGGCTGGTTGAACACTGACACGTCGATGCGTGATGTGCTGAGATGCATTGTCGCCGATGCTATTATGTTTTCGGGGGCCGCGTGGCCGCGGTGCATGAGGAGGGTTGAGCTGCTGGGACGTTTGTAGATTGTGTACAGGGGAGGAGAGTCTTTGGGTGCGGTTGAGGGGAGGATGGAGAGAAGGTTGTCGTCTTGGGGGTGTGGACGGATGGTGAAGACTTGAGAGCCATTGGAAGAGGAGCCTTGGGGTCCAGATGATCCGTATAATACTGTTTTCAGTAGTTTCTCCATGAGGGCGACTCTTGAGGTGATGGTTGGTTTGTATTGACTGCTGTGTTTTATTATAGGAGAGCTGAACAGGCCAAAAAGGTCGGTGAGGGATCCATTGTCAATTTATATCTGTTTTGCCAAGTGGCGTCAATATATAAGCTCATGTCATTTCCCGTAAAGGGAACTATGCTGCGACAGTGGTTGTCATCAGCAGGTTAGTGCACAGCCCTGTTGGGTTGGTGGCAAGTCAAGATGATTGGTCGGTTCGTTCAAGCGGCGGTTTTACGTGCATGAAACTCCAACGCGGAACTGAGACAAGTGACGACGATTCCGCTGCCATCGCGCATGTTTTGTCAATGCATTTGAATCATTCTAGATACTAGTCGGTCCGAAATTCGGTTCAAGTCTTTGCACCTCGAGGCTTGTAGCTATTCTAGTGCCCAGAAGCAGATACCGTTCAGTTCGTCGATATTACCCACTGTGTTAGATGAAAGCATCATCCAATCAAAACTTGCGGACATTGAGAGAGGCGAAAGATCTTCACTATAGCTCATCGTACAAGGCTGAGTAAGTCTGTTAGAAGTACTGATCCCAGGATAACAAAGGCTTATATACTTTAGATTAATAACTATCTGCCATTTAATTTAATATTGAATAAGTAATGTTAGACTTGATACATTTCAGAGTAAATAAATAAATTGAATATGTTTACTGCTTATATAGATCCCCGATCCAGTCCGCAATCATTGCCACCATCTCCTTGGTACAGCTATGGCCCGTGTTATCCTGTATGAAAATCCTCGCCTTGCTTTTTGCCGCAAACTCCCCATTCATCGCCATCTTCCTCCTCGTGAGCCATGACTCAGAAAAGCTTGTTGGCACAAGCGCATCATGCTTGCCATTGCACATTAGCAACGGAACCGTCCTGGGGAACTCATCTCTGGCCATCCTGTCACCTTCTCTCACCAATTCCGCGAGAGCCCTTGGCCACCTTCGTCTCTGCTCCTCACTCATGACTTTCTCTAGCTCATCATACGGGACCTTGTCAAGCTCGTCTTGATCGACCCCAAAAGCGACTGCATTGAGGCCGAGTCGGGAGAGAAGAAGAGAGGTTAGATTGGGGCAGCCGACCACGATTGCAAATGCTTCAAATTGGCGGGGTGCTACTGAGGCCATGCGCCAGGCTGTATGGCCTCCCAGTGATACACCTAACATGATATTGTGAAAGTTGCGAAATCGAGGCAAATATGCTGGCAAATAGTCCAGGATGAGCTTGAAGTCCTGAGCAGAGCCTGATATCATGGACATCAAATCTATTCTAAGCATAGACAGTTAAACGAATACTTCAACTTGGTGAACGGGTAAATAGACGAATAAATTCGTGCGTTTCACTTACCCGTGATTCTTATTACCATCCGACCAAGTCTGATTCGCTCGTTGATCGATCTGAAGTCTGTTTAGCGGATACCCAGAGTAGATCCATGCACCACAACTTCGTACCTCTCGATCACCATGGTTTCTCATGTTCATTGTCACCGCAATCATGGGCATCCTTTTCCGTCTCCGATCCGTTCTGTAAATGTGCAAGATCTCATGAGCAATGCCCTCAGTGACGAGGTACGTTCTTGTTCGGTTATGAGCAAGATATAAGACAGCTATATCATCGCTAGGCAAGTCATCCAAATCCTCGAGTCCGTACAGGTAGATCTGAACGCCACCTACGACAAGGCAGGATTTGCTGGAGCGCGGAGTGGTAGGTGGTAGTGAAAACCGCGGCTCTAGTCCATCATATGCAGCAGACGATTCCGTAGGCATGTTGTGCTCTGATCGTAGAATAATTTATTTGACCGGCGACAGGGCAGGAAATGGGAGTATTTAGGTGGCATAGACCAGGGACAGGAAATATGACATCAAACTGCCCATATGTAATGCACAAGACTCGTTGTGCAAGCCAACGGCAGCGGGCAGTAATATTGCCTATAGGTGATGAGGCCGAGAGACGGAAAACCGGCACAAAAGGTCATGCTAGGGCCTTTTGATTTTGACTTTTTTTACCGGCGTCAGCATCATTCGGTGAATCGTTTTCGGCTGCTTCTTAGTTCTATTCAAGGGTTCTCGTGTTCCGGTCAGATAATAATTCATAATTTGTGCCGAGAGCATGAATGCCATTGATGCAAGGGAGTAAGTAAAGTCAACTTATCCCTGCATAGTTTAGTCAAGATTTGCCGCATGTGTAAGCGTAGAAAGATGGCGTAACCATTTCGGCAAATTCGGTAAATATGGATGTGTAAGCGGGCTCTTCAACGATCTCCTCCCCACTGGGCACGCTTTGACTCCAGCCGTCTGGGTTCGTTTGTAGAGGTTAGAGAATGAGATATCTTAAATAGGGAGCACGTGGAGCGAGGACTAATTACGCATGTAAGATTCCCGTATGCTCGATTTAAATACACCTATTATTCCATGTTTCTATTTTTTATAATTTGTTCTTAAGTTCCAGTATCTGTCAAACTAGTATTCTATCCAGTGTCTTTGTCGAAGGGTAGCATCCCTAGAATCTCTTAAATAATGAAGCTGCTTAATGTTATGCTTCTCTCAGCGTTGTCCGCCTGTATTGAGGCCGGGCTGGTTCATGGACGTTGTCAAACCCTACCCTCAGGCCAATCCCCGGGCCATGTCTCCAACGTCAGCATCACCAGTAGCGGCAAGGAACGCAGTTTTCTCGTTTTCATTCCCCCAGGTTATAGCAAAGACCAACCAACACCTGCCATACTTTCCTACCATGGGGGCGTTAGGGATGCAGAAGACCAGCTGCACCTCGATCAGCTTACCAGCCCGGACTTCAACCCGGGATCACTTGTCATCTATCCTCAGGGTATCCAGGTAAGATCCCGCTACAAGGTTACACAGAGACTACAGAATATATACTAAGACTCCAGTAGGACACATGGCAAGGTGTTCCTGGTGTCAAGACAGACGATATCAAATTCACCGCAGATATCCTAGATTACGTCGAGTCTCATTACACGGTAGACAAACTTCGCATCTATGCTACAGGAAAGTCTGACGGCGGTGGCTTCACCAACGTCCTAGCCTGTGACGCCGACATGTCTCTCCGCTTTGCAGCGTTCGCACCCGTATCGGGAGCCTTCTACATCGACGCTCCATCATGTAACCCAGATACGGTCTCTGTTCCATGCAATGCACAACGCGATAACATACCCTTCATAGAGTTCCACGGCGGTAACGACACGACCATCCACTATGACGGCGGAGCGCGCAAGAAGGAGTGTTTACCTAGTATTCCCCATTTCATTCAGCAATGGGCTTTGCGTGACGATCTCGGGAGCAGTAACCAAGAAACCCACATCGCACCCAACACGGTTCGTTACCGTTTTGGCAGCGGCTCGACGGCGGGTTTGGTTGAGCACTATTTTGAGTCGGATATTGGCCATGATTGGCCAAGCACGGCGCCAAACGACGACAATCAACGCTCTGGCCACCATGTTGCCAGCTACAACGCTACACCTATCATCGTCGATTTCTTCTCACGGCATTCCTTGTGATTCAGTCTCCAGTTGAGTAGCTTGAAACTGACTTTAGCAGGTTCAGGTCATCTGCACTCATTTATGTATAACCGAGATAAGTGAGATGATCCATGACCTAAGAAGCTGCGTGGTGTGAAATGGACGGGAGTTTTTCTTGGTTTGTCAAATTACGTTGTACAACTTGGTTAAAGTGGCAAGGCTCTTGCTAAATAGAACTCCGAGTAGTTGGTTGAAGAGTATGTAACTATAGGGATGACTGCCGCCTATAAGGTTAACCTTGAGGCTGCAAACACAGGTGATGTATGAGAACACGGTATTTCTTTCCTCAATAAAGAGTATGTAACAAATGAACAATACGGTGGGCCAATTATACATACATACGCGTCTTGGTGAACGAAACAACATGACCAGTAATACATAGGGGCAGCTTGAACTAGTCTGCAGCTGCGCTGGATAACAGGCGAGACTGCTAAATGGGCTGCACCGAGTCTAGCTAGAATGAAATAGTATTGTACAACATGTCATCTACAGGCTCACTCGCTATTAATGACATGTGTTGGCCGTGTACCTCGGCATCGAAATTAGAGAAGAAATGCTGGAAGATATCTTCAGAGAGTGAAAATTTGGGACTAAGGAGCTGGTCCACGTTGCTGAATTGCGGGGAAACCGAGTACCACAGCTGTTCAGTATCTTGGGGCATTGAATTCAAGTCTGTCATCAGAAGGCCGTCTGACTGGCACTGATTGTCCATCAAAGTATGGGCCTGAGGCTCAACTAGACCCGCGTTGGTGCTTTGCTGGGCCGAAGCTGCTAAATGTGGCTGGGGATCCGAAAGGTCAGATGAGCTCGATTGTGAGGCTCTTGTCTTGCCCAGGATTTTTTGAGCCCGATCGAATAACTTGTACATTACATCGGCGCTCCAATATGTCATTCTGAGGTTAGAGAGTACAAGCATGCATAGCTGCATCTTATGGGTTGCAAGAGCATGTATCAGAGCCGTGGTCGACTTGCAGTCCGACAGGTGAATCTGCATGGCGGGGATGATGGCGGTGATTCTGCAGGGCAAGCGAGAAATATGTCAGTGTAACAGTCAGCCAACGATTATATGACAACATACATCATTGGTTTCAAGTACTTTATGGCGTCAAGCTCTATTAGCCTCTGTAACAGGGAATTTGTATTTGCCGCAGCCTCACGAGCACGACGCAAAGCCACTTTGTGCCAGTCTAGAGGCGTCCCTGTAGGTGGAGGCGCAGACTCATTAAGCGCATACGGCCGGTACAGAATCGCTACCGTCGCTCTACTTATTCATTAGCGCTTGAACTAACTAGCCAACACCATGTACGAAGGGAATGTACGAAGGGAATGACGGACTGATAAAACAAGTCGATCTGGTAGGCGTGAATGCTAAGAGTGTCGCACCACTCATCCATAATCCCCGAGTTTGTGGCTGACAATGATTCTATTTGCTGAGCATACTTGTCGATATCATCCATGGTTGGGTCTGGTCCGCTTAAGCGGTAATGAAGTCGCAGTATACCACCGAGAACGTCGCTGATACGGACGAGTCGGAGCCAGAGACTCGTCAAGGCCGCAGAGTCAGCCGGAATGAACCGTCTCTTTGCATCATGGGTGACAGAATCCAGTTCTTGGAGGACATCCTGGGAGGTAGGAAATGGGAGGTCGCAGTCCTCACTATGGATTCGCATGGGGTGCCCCTTGGCCAACGAGACCCAGCGATCTCTAACCACGCACGACCACCAGATACGGCGCCTCAATGCTTGTTCCCGCGGATACATCTGTCCGGCGCGACTACTAGATCGAGGGTTCCGGTGGAGACCGATGCCCTGTGCCAGGGATATGGCGATACCAATCCAGTACCATGCTCCTGTGTGGTCCTGCGGGTCTGTGTACCAGAAGCTTAACAACATAACTGACTGGATCAGTTTCAGCTTCTCGGTGGATCGATCGAGGTCATATAAACACTGGAGATACTCCTTGTCAGTGGTTCACGGCGTTTCCAACAAACGAACGACAACTTTGTCACTGACCTTGGCACGTTCATACATGGCAGTCTTCATAGCTTTCCTGGATGGGAAGTTGAATCGTCTCAGAAGATCGGCATCTGCAAACTACGGCAAATCCAGCAAGTCAGATCTGAGTACCATTCCCCCAAATTGAGCATTGGAAACTTACATTCGTTGCTGCCAACATCATACTCCAGAACAGAAGATCGTGCTTTTTGTGCGGTCCCTGTTGGTGATAGTCATTGAGAAAACCTTCAGCATCCACTATTGGTAGGAAGAAGTGGACATGCTTAAAGTAGGTCCAGATCATGTCATCACAGACATCTGCAGGCAATGTGGTCAAGGCTCCTTCTGAGCGCATGTATTCCACCTGATGTGGCTTGTGCAAAGTATGGAGGGCGTCTTTCGGCGGCAGGTATGGTACGGAGTCCTGTGGGGAGACTGCGTCACATATATCGTACACGGTACAGCGTGGTCCACGTTTGTCTCCTGTAAGTGGTAGGGTGAGCTGATGGGTGTTTTCGCAGCGATTTGAATGGCCTTACCTAGATACGTATCTGGGCTATCATCAGGCAATTTAGGGTCATCCACCACCCCCTTCTCAGCGAACTGGTCATGGTTGTCTTCGCTTCTGGTCAGGCTGTTCACCGGTCTGGATTTCAAGGCAACGCTCAACTCCTCACGTGTGGAACGCGTATCGTATCCAGCATCTCCTATCGCAGAATTGTTACAAGTCTCGTCTGTTGACAAGGCTAGTGGACATACAATCACAGAATCGAGAGGCTGGGTACCCACCTCTGTCTGGAGAAGAAGTCGACTTGGTACGTGGTTGACGAGGTCTAGTATCAGCATCGAATGCACCGTCAGCCGCATGCATCAGCCACGTAGGTAAGCGAGGATGAGTCGTTTTACCGATATTTCTTGCGCGGGAGGACTATGCAGTCTTGGCCGCCACGCTGGCAGTTGGAACAGGGACGGCTGGTTTCAGCGACATCGCACTTGACCTTTCGCTTATTGCAGGCCTGACAGGCAACTCGCGAGCGAATTCGCCGTATGCCAAGTCGTGCCGAGAATGGCATACTGCTGTTATGGTCGCGCGATGTATCCCCGGGCAGAATGCGTTCGGTCAATGTTCTTTTGTCGGCAGGCTGAGCGACAGTAGCATCGGTAAAAAAGATTCACAAGAAGGAGAGGATTGCGAGGCGAGATCATCTCCAATTTGCCGTTCTTTTCGGTTGAAATA